AATATATTTCATGTAAAAAACAAATATGCTCTTTACATAAAAAAGGGAAAAAAATACATATCAGAAGACATCTTTGCTGCAACCATATTTTAGTATTGCTTAATTTTTCCATGTCACTGATAAAGAAGGGTGCCATGTAAGTAACTGTCCCTTTACTACTGAAAGGAGCACCTGCTTCTGTAATAAAGGGGTAGACATTTTTCTCCAGGAGTATTTTAGGATATCATTACTGCAGAAGGCTGAGACTGCTCACAGAAGAGCAATATTTTCAAAACCACAGTTTTTCATAACTGGCTGCTGGAAAGTAAGAATTAGTAGTTCAGCAAAGCTGGTATTTTAGAGAACTGAGAGGAAGGAACAAATCTGGTTAATGAAGAGGATAACATCACATATGGAAACCTAGCTGATTAGCAGAGTCATGGAATATGCTTCTATTTAATCAGAAAAACTTTCTGGTAATCCAGAAAGCTTAAATCTAACACAGTATCTGGTGTTCTGGTAAGTTTTGCTTTCAGCTGCAATTGCCAATCCACTCTTTCAAGGGATCAGTTTTAGGTCCTGCAGGGAATCAGCACACTGGAGTATCCTCAAGAGCGCTCACTATTCACTTGCCAACCCAAGAAATCATGGACTATTCCCACTTACACTACTGTATCTTCCCACACAAACTTTTACCATCAGAGATCCTGTTTTCAGAAGGGGCCTCCAAATTTGCAAATTGCGTTTAATGTCCCACCCATTGTGCTTGGTAAGTCTTCATAAAATTTTCACAAACCTGGTAATGACAAAGATGTGGTTGAGTGAGATGGCTGAGGGCTGATACCCCTTGTCTGCTGTATGTGCAGCAGAGAAGGTCATGTTTAAATGCATGTCAAGCTGGAGACACTGATGACAGTGTCACTTCTTGGTCTGCCCTTAATGGGGAGCACTTGCTGGGGAGGGATTGCAGGAATCTCAGTCTCTGAAGAAAGAACACCCTCATACACTCTACTGTGTGAGACTTCTCTCATTTCTTCTAAACTTAACTTCTGTCTTGAGCCTATTACATTGCATACAGGGAGGGGGGTAAAGGGACTCGGCCCAATTAAATCTTCTAATTGGAAGTTAGAGTAAAAACTTACAGTTAATGCCTGGAAGATAGAAGCAATGAATCTTGATTCCCTTGAGTACCCTCTAATGGGACAGTTGCTAATGTAGCTGCTTTTTCTTCTATACATGCAAAGCTGATGCACTTCTCCACAAATATTTCCCGTTCTCTTTCCTGCCAATTCACTCCCATTTGTGTCATTGGCAAAACTCCCATTGATCACACAGGAAGCATGATCAATGCCTTCTGTACCTGGATGTTTGTTTTCCTTTTTAGGAGATATTTGACTGAGTTTCTTCTTACTAGCACTCTTGTTCTTTCTCCTTGAAGGGCTTCCCTTCAAGGCACTGTCATAAAGACGGTCATTTAACAGAGGTGAGCAAAAGCCCACCTCTGAGTCTTTCTCTGTGTAAGAACAGAGAAAGAGATAGCTAGATAGGTGATAATATGCATATCTACTGGTATTTAGATTAAAAACTGTGTAGAAATATCTTTGTAGACAGGAAAACCTAGTTGCTGATGTGCAGGGCACACGAATCAAACACAAGCTTTTTCTTAGACCCCTAGGATATGCAGGCACCACAGACAAGCTCTATGTTAGAGCACTCCAGAGGTCCACAAACGCAGCACTGCTAGCTCGAGTCCTGAGAGAAACCTGTCCTTCCTCCCTGGCTATGGGATTGCTCTCCTCTGCCTTGGAGAGGTCATAGCATGCTATTGCAGCTCTTGTGAGCAGTACAGATATCACAGAACCATAGAATATGCTGACTTGGAAGGGACCCACCAGGATCATTGATTCCAACTCCTGGCCCTGCGCAGGACACACCAAAAATCTCACCACGTGCCTGGGAGTGTTGTCCAAACACTTCTTGAATTCTCTTTCTCTTTCTTCACACACCATCTACACTTCTCATCCTGGAAATGAACTACCTTTCCTCTATTCCTGTATCTTCTTTCTGTAGTCCCTTTTCCTGTTATGTCCCAATAGCTCCAGTCCTGAGTGGGGTTCCCCAAGGCAGGTTGCAGTGTGCCATCCCGAGCACGGTTCCGTGCAACAGCATGAATTTTCACTGGATGAGAGGCAAACACTGAAAGCAGAGAAGGGTTCTCTCTAGGACTATGCAGGACTGTTCTGCCTTTATTTTTGTTTAGACTTCTGTCAAATAAAAGCAAGCATGTGCTGTCTGAGCTATGTCCCCTCACTATGGCAACAAACACGGATCTCAGAGAGGGGAAGGGAAAACGTGTTATGGAGAAATCCTGTACACAGGGTAGTGGCCCCAGCCTGCTTTTAATGGCTCCTTGAGATACCCCAGCTCAGAGGAACTGTTGCAGGATGATCCCACATGGCGCGGCACTCTCACAAGCCTCCTCTCCACAACCCACACAGCCACAGCGCCGGTGCCAGGGAGCCTCCCACGCTGGCTGAGTCACAACACCCGCCGGCCGCCCAACGGAGCCCCGGCATTACTGAGCTCGTCCATGCTCCTCATCTTCCCCAGGGTTTCTGAGGGGAAAGCCAAAAGAGCCTTCTCCTCTCAGTCATTCTTGGAAGGCAGGCATTCATCCCACGGAAGCAAGAAGGCTATGTTTCTTTCATTTGCAATTAAAATACAGTTCTTAAGCACCACATTTTAAAGTAGAAGCAAAATAAACAATAAATCAACAAAAGTATGGTTTGTTAGTGAGAGAAAACTGCTAAATTCTCCCTTTTCTTCTTGCTTTCTGGGATACGACCAGAATCCAGTCAGTCCCTGGGTGCCAAGGATTCAAACAAAAAATATATACATAAAAACAGTTACTTCTAGCAGAAAGCCAGGATTCGTGCATGATAGGCTCTAGAATAGCTATTACTCACTAGTTGCATCTGCTGAAAGTCTGGATCTTTACTTGGAATATGTCATCTTACCTTCAAGCCAAAAACTGAACCAATGAGTTTCTTAGGGACTGTGAGCTCCTATCTGCTGTGAGAGTAAAGGTGGCCACAGGTGCTCAGGACAGCTGAGATAGCTGTGTGCAAATAGAACTTGGAAAAATATCAGTCCTACTGACACAAAACTGCCATGAAATAAAATTATTTTTTCTTCTGGCGTACAGACAACCACTGAGTTTATTTAAATTAGCTATACAAATCTAAATGAGCTGCACTTGGCCTCATCTGACTTCCTGATCATTTTGCAGCGTGAAAAATTACATGCAGAAAACTTTAAGTGCATGGCTTGTCCTGGGCAAAGGCCAGGGTTGTTGGCAGTTGCCTCAATAGGCAACTCAAAAGTAAACTTGCCATTTCCCTAATCACTATGTTTCCCTGTTTCACTGATTCCCTGGACGTGTTTCTCCATTCAGTTCTTCCTCTGTCTGTCATTCCTTTGGTGGTAGAAATGCTCCATACCAAATTTCTGCATTTTTCTTGCTCTCCTAAAACACCAGAAATACCTTCTCTTGGTGTGAGTGTGACTATTCACAGTGAGGAGAGTTTGCAAAGTCCCAACCCTGGTTGAGAAGACACCCACTGTAATTGATAGATGAGGTGATTACCATCAGAAACATTACCCCAAAGAAGTGAAAAAAGCAGCTAAGTGCTGATGAAATCCTGCAGTCAAGTGGCAACTGAGTTGCAGAATATCAGTCTTACCTGTTAATTGCTGTGATTTGCTTCTGAGACAGCTGGAGGCTGGCAAGAAATAAATTTGTTTTGTTCAGCGGAAAATAAAAGCACTTCCGGGCAGTAATAGAGAAAATTCTTTTGATTACTCACCTGGGCATGGTTAGACTTAAATCTCATAATTTTATTTCAAAAGGAGTTTTAATGGAGGAAGGATATTTTGGCAAGTGTGAAAAATCCCTCTTTAGGGTTCTTGTGACTGAATTTTGAGTGAGAATTAACCCTTGCAGTCTGAACAGCCGGAAGTGGAAAAAGCACTGACAAGCAAGACATTTGTTTCTTATTGTGCTGACTCTGCCAAGGAGTATGGTGACAAGCAAAAAGGACAGAAGAGATGGTCAGATGTTGCCTTGGAACAAAAAACAAAATACTTTTTCCAGGAAGTACAGAGAAATGAGTAAAACAGGGAATTAAGAGAAAGATTCAGAAAACAGATCACAAACAAACAGGAAGCAAAAAACGAAACCAAAACAAGCATCACACATGATTAAGAAGAGGGAAAAACCAACAAAGAGGGAAAAGGGACTACAGATTTACTATGGTCCAAGAAAAAAAAAAGCTGGCCTTTCAGTAGAAGCTGATCACTCAAACCATCGATAGGTAAAAGAAGTAGCAAGACAGGTCTGTGTATCTTGCCACATCCTCAGCTGCCTTCAGGAAATCAGTACACGTCAACTGAAATGACACCAATGGTGTTTCTGGCCCAAAGATTTCAAATTGTTGTGATTAGCTGGCTGTCAATAGCAGATGTGTAACTGAAGGAAAATCCTTTCTTAACTAAAGCCACAAGTGTATCATTAAACACAAATCACAATGAAACCCAAAAGGTGGAGGAATCATCCACACTGACTCAGTGATATTTGAGAGATCCAACTCAGACATGGAGTCCTGTTTTTCAATTTGGAAAGGAAAATATTTACACAAAGAACCTGGGAAGCCTCATAGCTTTGAGTATAAGCAACTCTTGCATGAAGCTGGGCCAGCTGATCACATTCACTTGAACAGTGGGATCATGGTAACAAATAGGCACATCAGCAAAGTTCCTTGTTTCTGGTATCACTAAGCATGCTCAAATGCCTCTCAGCAACTAAATTGCAACTTTACATTTGAAATGCCTTGTTAGAAAGAAATTAAGATGGTACGTGGGAGGTCAGCTAACATATCCAGCAAAGGAACCCTCCTGCTCTTGTTGGAGGGCAAATGCTGAAATATGACAAAAAGCAAGAAATTTATAGCAAGCAAGGTGAGGATTGATCGAGCATACCAATTTTGGGGACACTTAGAAACAAATTGGGCCTGATGTCAAGCTCCTGTAAAGACTCTGTCAGAGAAGTCAATAAATGTGACTTCAGCGCCAGTCAGTTTTGCCCAGTCAGTATTCTTCACAGTGCTAACAATAATTACGTTTCCTCAACAAAGAAAGTCTAACAGAAGCCTGTTAATGATGACAATGGGAGCAAAACAATTTCTTATCTCATTGCTAGTCCACTCCTCTTGGACAGCTGATGGACCTACCTGTTGGTAAGAACACGGATGGGCGGGCAGTCTGCATCACAAGCAACTTCATGCAATCAGCTCTGCATGGAGGGTCGGTCCCTTAGAGGACTCTGAAAAGTCTAACAGGAATGTCACTGAAACTTAGCACCAAGCAAATTAAAAAAAAAAAAGAAAGTTGGAAGTAGTTGTTCTTTTCTATTTTTCCATGCTTTTACTTTCCATGTTATGAAGTCATTCTTACTCTTTTAAACAGTCTTGCATTAGAGTATTTGCAATAGTTTCAGACCAGATGGAGTCACTCATTGATAGGCAACACTGTATAAGAAGTGTCCAATAATTAATAATTACTTGTCATTTCATAATTTGTTATAAAAATCATCATACACTAATTTACCGCAAGCAGGAATCCAACAGGCAATTCCAGATGACTGCTATAGCTTGACTGTTATAGCTTGGCATCAGCTCATATTCTTCATGTATATATGGTACAGCATTTTCATTTTAAAAAAGAGCTCTAGCAAAACCTTACAACTAAAATACACAGAAAAAAATCACCAGCTCTCTTCCCCACACTAGGCTTTTCTGTGTCAGTAGAGAGTGTAGATCTTCTGTTGTGAAAGGTGATATAAATGTTGCACCTTTCTGATGGAAACCTTGTGACCACCTCCAGAGCAATGAAAATTTTTCTGTGCAACAGCAGTAGGCTCAGGTTTTACTGTCTTTAAAGTAAATCAGGATTTCTGATCCATGGCCTAGTAAGAAAAGCTTCCTAAGGAATATTATGACTCAGGTACAAAGCTTTTCAGCTACATTGCACAGAATGTACAAATATGGGCTTCTTTTCAACATATTGGTGAGACTTTGGTGTCACAGCAGAAACTCTTTTGAAAGGAGCAATAAGAAATCTCTTCACATAACTACAATGTGACCCTCACATGATTTTCATATGATACATCTTCATAGGCTATTTTGTAATCAACACATGAACCAACATGTGCACCAGGTTCATGATCTCTCTTGAGCCTAGATATTTGATCGTGCTTCTTAAAACTTCATTTCATCAAGTTAAACAGTTTCATCTAAAAGTGTACAATGTTGGCTTAAAAAAACCAAACCAGCACGTCTCCCTTCCCAACATTTCTAGCCCTAAGGGGAGCTGCTGAGAAAACCCTCTGAACATAACCCAAGCGCTCACAAAAACTGAAAAGCTAAATGAGAGCTCAAGCTGCATGAACTCTCATCACTCTCTACAACTACCTGAAAGGAGGTTGTAGCCAGGTGGGGGTTGGTCTCTTTTCCCAGGCAACTATCAGCAAGACAAGAGGGCATGGTCTCAAGTTGTGCCAGGGTAGGTTTAGGTTAGATATTAGAAAGAATTTCTTTACAGAGAGGGTGGTCAGACATTGGAATGGGCTGGCCAGGGAAGTAGTGGATTCTCCATCCCTGGAGATTTTTAAAAAGAGACTGGATGTGGCACTTAGTGCCATGGTCTAGTAACCGCAGCGGTAGTTGATCAAGGGTTGGACTTGATGATCTCTGAGGTCCCTTCCAACCCAGCTGATTCTATGATTCTATGATTCTATGAATTCTCGCAAAAGCACCCCTTTCCCACACTGCTGGAGAAACTCTTCCCATGACACTGGGGAGTGGGCAGCCCTTGCTCTGCTCCTGCTGCAGAGCAAATCCTTCACTTACCCGGTAACTCTTTGAGCAGGAGTACTCATTCCAGCAGCTCCCTGGCTGCTCCCACCCCAGCTCTCTGACACACAAATGTTTCATGTCTTGTTTGTAGCCCTGGAAGAGCCTTTTTGAATAATCCTAGTTTCAGTGTATTTTGCCAGTTCAGAAAAGCTCTGCAGACTTTAGATTCCAGCTTTTTCTTACCCTACAGGCAAATTAGAAATACATGCACATTTTAGGATACTGGGAATCTCAGAGGGACTTCTAAAGGGAACTGGAATGCTTTCACAGTTAAGTCACACCAAGGGATGTTACCTTTATTCAAATAACCTTTACATAAGTGATCATTTGTACTGCCTGTGAGATGTCAAAGCAGTCGAGACAATAAGCAAAATGTCAATTCTCCTGCTTTCAACAGACTTTGCTACAGACCCCAGCAGAATCCTCTGGGCCTCTGGGAATAGAGTTGTCATGCTGCAGGAGTTAGAAGTGAAGGTGAGGTAGTTAATATCCCTAACAAGGCACCTACATTGATCTCCAGTCTACTCCCGTTCATATTTCTCTCAGCGGGATTAGATGCAGAGCAGCCTCCCCGAAGACCACTTAGCAGGCAGTCTGTGATTTGAACCACTTCAGGGCTTCTCGATCAGGTTGTTACCAAACACTAACAACCAACAGTTCTCAAGCTGTTCTGCCCTTTTGCTTAAGGTTGCTTCGTGCCTGCTAACCAAACTGATATCTCAATCATGGCAGATTAATGTCACTTTGCTATTCCCTGAGAAAAAGGGGAGAAAAAAAAGAAGTGTGCTTCTTCCTTCATAAAGGCTACCATGCAAGAAGGGACCATGATGAAGTTGCTCTATCTATTTGCCCATCTGCTCTGCACCCTCTCCATCAGGTGCTCTTTAGCAAGGCAGACTATCCTGCATGATAAAAGACTCTGGGTAATAATTATGAACACCACCAAGCTTGTAAAAGGGTGTCCTAGTTCCTGCCAGGACAGAGTTAATTTTTTGCCATAGCTGGGAAAAGGGTGTCCTGGTTCCAGCCAGGACAGAGTTAATTTTTTGCCATAGCTGGGAGGGGCATGGTTAGGACACAGAGGTTATTCTATATTACCTCACCTCACTGTCTGGGTTTGGGAAAAGGGACTCTTGCAGGGAGAAGGGATTCCTTCCAGTGGAGAAAACATGGTGACGTGATCCATCCAGTATTGTCTATTATTGGGAAGGCTTTTTTCTGTGTGAATACTTTCTCTTCTTATACCCTCTGTCATACATTGTTGTTGTTACTGTTCGTTTTCTTATCTCATTGCTGTTTCCAGTAAATTGTTCTTATCTCAGCCTGTCATCTTTGCCTTTTGCACCTCTAATTCTCCCCTCCATCCCACTGCAGCAGGGAGGGGGATGGGAAAATGGGGCAGCGAGTGAGAGTGGCATGTGTTTTGAGAGTCTTGGTGAGGGCACTGAACTGGGAAGTATCATTCCTAAACCATGAAAAACAGACAGTGAGGGATAAATAATTTACTTTTATCAGAATTAATGAATCTTATTAGGAAGATCAGTAATTCCATGTCCTTCTAGTCCACAATCATGCCAAAAAAGCAGAATAATTTCAATAGTCTTGTGGTTAGATATATTGAGCTGCTGTACAAGTATTGAACTTACCACTCTTACCTCTTGTCCTTTGAAAGTTGATGAGGCTGTTATTATGGTGGGGCCTGCAAAACGCAAAATGGAAGCCATTTCAATTTGATTTTTGGAGAAGATTTTGTCATAAATCAGTGACAAACTGCCCCTGAAGGATGTTTATATCCTCGCCTTCTTTTCAATCCCACCACAAGGCTTATTACATTTTATATGATCAGAGATATATGAAACTGCTCTGATTGTCTCCTGTTTCCCTCCCCACTATTAGTGTCTGTGTATATAAAAATATGTTTGGTCACAAAAGAAATTGGACAAGGGAGACTAAGGGGCCCTCCATTAGCCCTACATCCTGGTTCTGAAGTGACAGCTGAAATGCCCACTGTGACAACCTAAACAGAAAAAAAATCTTCTGATGCCTCAGGACTGCCAAAAGACCTGGGGAAAATGATTGCACTCAAATTTCCATTCTGGGTTTTCATAATCAAATGGGGCAAAAGCAAAAAAGAAACCTCTCTCATCTCGTCTTCAAAAAGCTGGAAAAGACTTTTTTTACATGTTGATTTTCATCTTGACTCCAGGAAAGAAACAGCTTGAGAAAGCACATGCCTCCCATGAAATAACCAAAATTCCAAACCACTTCTCGCTGTCTGTTCTGTTCCTGGCCTTCTGATCTATGCTAATTGCTAAACTTTGAGTATGTACTTGAAATTTTCTGTGGGCAATGTGACTCTCTTCAAATAAAAATAGATGCCAGAATTTTTTTTCTAACTGAAATACAGAGAATGACATTTAATGTAAGTGTTTAATCATTATTAATTGCTTTGGTATTCGTTGAAATTATGATGGGTTCATTTGAATGTACAGCACCATTTAAGAATAATCTGAACAAGCAAATATGCCAGATCAGTGTATAAAGCTCAGTGAAGCCTTCTAGGAATGTTATTTAATCCATAGATGTGTGTGCTGGAGATGGTTAGAAATTCCAACTAATTGCATAACATACCTTTAAGGAATAACCCTACCTATTTTGTCAAATAAACAGTTCTGTTGAAAATATGAAGTCTAAAACATTTTCAAAGCAAAATCACTAAAATAATTAATTTCAAAATTTGAAATAAATTTTTCCTAGCAATTTTTGTAATAAAGCTATGTTTTGGTTTTTTGTTAAAATATCAGCCAAAAAATGTCCAGCTCTAGACAAGGTAGGCAGACAAATTTGTCAGCTAAATTACACATGACCTGTCAGGGAATATGGGATCCCAGAGCCTTGCCAAAAAGGCTGCTACGGAGCTCTTTCTTGTGAGTTCAGGGAAAACTGTTAACAATTCTGCCATTTTAGGGACACAGCGACTCCAGAGGACACTGAGAGCACAATTTTCAGTTGCGACTCTTTCTGCATAAAATATCTCACTGCAACAAGTCAGGACTCTCTCTAACCTCATAACACAGAGGTCTGGTGTAAATTTATCCACTTACCTCTTCTCCAGAAAACCCTGTTTAGACTTATGAGCTCTTTACGACATCAGAAATACAATGACGAGAACTGGCAGAGGTAGCAAGCCAAGGACTTACAGCCACACAGGGCAATGTACAGCCATTTATTCACATGTTCATGCATACAGATGCCATACAATTTAGTTTCAGAAAAAAACAAGTTTAAAATGTTATTACTTCTTCCTCTTATCTGGTAGCTAACATTTTCTTCCAATTTCCTACTCATTACGTACACCATTTTCCATGTTTCAGCCATGTTAAGCCTTAGCTGAATGGGGTCAAACTTTTCAATATTAGACACCAGTGTTTTTTATTGAGTCAGTTGATGGCATCACAATTTTACTTGGTTTTTATCGTTGAAAATTGGCACCAAACAAAAAAGTGAAACAGAGGCTGGATAAAGGGAAGGAAAACAGTTGCTCTACTGGAAAAATCTATCTTGATGACTGGGAAGAGCAATTGGTTTTCTTTTTAAAATTGTATATCTGAGCAGAGCAGACTTTTACAAGCTGCATAACTGCAGCTGCAGGAATCTACAGCAAGGGATGTTAAGAAATCAAGAGTTAAAAGCAAGTTATTCTGAAAGATAATACATCTATTTGCATGGCAATTTCTATTCCCATTTCAGAAGGTGAGTGCACAGCCGAAGACATGCAGTGGTAAACACCTTGATATCTATCCCTACATTGTACCAGTGCTACCCACCACGTCAGCCCTCCTGCACTGCAAATACAACAGCAGAGTAATGCACTTCTCTCTATATTAATAACTGTATCTTAGCTCTCATGCTCCATATTTACAATTGCAAAAGCTTAAATGGAAAGAGTCACCTGGTCTTTTACATATAGAAGTTGTCATTTTATCTTAATGTGACAAAAGAATTGTTATGATACTAGATCATATATAAAGACTATTCTGAACCAGGCAGAAAGATTCAAATAGCAAAGTTTATATATTCTTCTACAAAATACGGAGATGTTTCACTCTGCTGGCTTAAAGCAGCTGGAGAACAAGCATAATGACATTTTGAAGTAAGAAGAAATCTGGCTTATTTGTAGAAGCAAGACTAAAGGTGACAGGAGATGTGAGTTCTCAAAAGAGAGAAAACATTTGAAAACATATGCCTTAAATTCTCTACTTTTATATTTGTTGATTGAATTCCTGATAGAATTGGAGTCCTGCTACTGCCTTCCAAAAGATCAATATTGGAGTTGATCAGAATTTTTCTGGTAAAATAGCTTTCTGTCACAAAGATGTCAACTGCTCAAAGCCAAAAGTTTGTGCAAAAAATAGACATGCTTCAATAAAGATAACTTCCCCTATGCTGGGGAGGGAACAGGAGGGAAAAAAAAAGATTCAGAGCTAATATTTGCATCCCAACCCTTTTCTCTCAGATGACTGGCCAAAATACTGTGTTTTCAGTCATTCTAAGGTGAGCAAGACCAGAAAGAGAATAACAAAAGCAGGATAGGTTGTGCCCCCTCTTATTTTGTATGGTACGACTTTCACTTTTAAACCTGAGACTGGGAATAAGCTTCCCCTTTCATGTCCCAATTCACATAATATTTATGTCTGTCCTGAATGTCCAATCTATCTTATTTTCTCATTTTTTCATTTTGAAAACAGGTGAACACTCTTTGGTTAATCCCTACGTGGAACAGGCAATCAAGAAAACTTTTCCAAGGAGGCTGAAAAACATTTCTTATTTGGACTTTATTGATATTACTGGTGTCTAAAGAGCCCTTTCTGTTAAAAAAGGTGTTAAAAGAAAGTGTCCTTTCACAGCTAAGTGAAAAAAAAGTTTGACAGAAAGATAGCTACCTTTGCAATTAAAAACATTGGCAAAACTGTAGCTAAATGTGTTTCAAATTTAGTTTGGTACTTTCTAGGTGATAAGCTGCACAGCAGTTGAAAACCAAGGGAGATAAAGGAAGATATCCTGCTGGTGAATCAGCAACCATGGCAAAATCACTCTCCTTGGACTGATACATGTCTCCATCCCCAGGTTATCTCAGGTACTGTCCTGATATACCTGCTCCCATAGTATGATCACCACTCACTGAGTAAGATGTATGATTACAGTCACTCAAGCTCCACCTAAACATAACAAAATGTTATAAAAGTGAATTAAGAATAGGGAGAAGTCAGGGAAGACTCCAACGTAACATTTGGGATCAATTGACAAGCTGAACCCATCATCTCCTCCATAGGGATACCTGTTGGGTAAGAACTGTAATCTATGCATGCTGAATCATTATCTCAAACTAGCTTTTATTGGGGATTAGAGCTGCTTAGTATATTGCTTTGAACTAGTATATTGCTTTGAATATATTTTTGCAGTCAGATACTGTCACCAACCATTCTTGAATCTTAACCTGTAAAGAGTGCTACCCTATAAACTGGTAATGTGAGTCCTTCAAGGGCACTGGCAGTCAGTGGCAATGGGTAAACACCCAAGAAGGTGTTTCTCTGTTTGGAATGTGGCCCTGAACAAGTCAGTGAAATCACCCTCCTGATCTAGTGAACTGCTCAGTGAAGGGTCCCCGTAACGGGATGCTGACACACTGGTTGGGCACAAGGGTCTTGCCTTTCTGGGGGCACTGACAGACTAATCAAACACAAAGGGTTTGGGTAAATCTCCCCTTTTCATGTGACACCTTTTAATGCAGTTACACGTGACACTGAGAAAATTCCATCTGCTTCTTTTTTGATATTGGCAGACGTAAGCATGCAGGAATTATATTGCTCTCTTGCATACAGCATCAGAGTGGGGTCTTGGCTTCTTATGACTGTCTGCTGTGACTCCCATGTCATTTTCATATTACTGAATCACACCCTGGCCTTATCAACACTTTCTTTGACTCTAGATATGTCTTCATATAGGGATGAACTAAAAACCATATTTTTCAGGTAAGCATACCAGATGTAATTTACTCCACTGTGATTTTTGTGTCTGTACATTTTAGCATGATGATTCAAAAATAATTAGTAAGACAAACGAACAGCAACAATGCAAGAACAGATATCTTCTTCCAGACAGATAATTATTTTCCCATTTTCCCGTTCTGTGAGACTTACTAAGTAGCCAAATTCCAGGTAATACAGGTAACACTGACCTCACCTTCTCTTCTCAGTTTATTTTTCAAGTTGAAAATTGAATTTCTAGAAATCATTATGAGAAGTGGTCAATTGTAAATGTTGATATCTTTAGATGTGAAAAGTAAAGAATTTTTCTTTTTTTTAAAAAAAACTAAAATTTTATGAAGAAAAAACATTCTGGAAAGCTCACGAATCTCAAGAACCCATCTTCTGTAATGAATCTAGAAAATTCAGGGCACTCTTTTTTTTTTTAATGTAACTATAGAATATTCATCTGGTTTTGGAAATGTTCAGCCTATTCAAGGACTACAGCTAAGGAACAATATCTCAATATCAGCAAACAAGTATCATTCTTTACTTTGACTATTAACTTTGTTAATACAGTGATTACTAAGTCACTGTGTCTATGGCCTAAACAGGCTCACATTAATATATACATAGAACTATTTCAGCATGCAATTTCCACTAATTATTTAAT